GACTCAATTTGGCCAAAGCAAGTCACCACTTGGGGAACGGACAGGCCACCGCCTCATCCTATTCCAGTACCGGAAGGCCAGATGACCGGGCAATCATCACGTCCGGGTCCACCAAGCGTGATGAAGGGTCAGCAGGTCAGAGCCCGCATGCCGTTCAACAGACCACCAACACTCAAGAAGGCAATTACGGTTACTTTTCATCGTATGTTTGTAGTTATCACTGTATCCTGTAAAAACTGCAAACTCCTGTGCATGTGCTACCCTATCTGCTATTGCTCTCTGACTGTGTCTCTGATGACGAATCCGCGACAGATATCAAAACGTCAGGTGAATACAAGTATTGTCCCAGCGATCGAGTCATCTTCTTCTCAACAACATACATCTCGCTTTTTATCAGTTGATAAGGGTAAGGATGGCTACCGAGATCCTCGTCGTCGTAGTAAAACCGCACAGACGACGAAAAGGCTATGAATTGTCATATACACGGAAAGAAAGTACGCTTTCTCAAAGTTTGCACTAGCTCCCTGCGTTTCTCATTTGTCTTCAATTACAAGGATTATGTTCAGCCCCATCTAGAAACGAAATCTCTAACCCACACCTAGAGCTCCATACTTAAACCAGGACGATCATTTGAGGTTGCTCTGAATCAGGGATTAAAAGCTGCATTTTCCACTTAAAGTTAAGATTAGGCTAGCAATCGAACGGCAGAAGCAATATTTTACTGAAGTTAACCAATAGTTGGCCTTCTCGAGGACCTATTTGGAGTTTGGTCATGCCCAAACATAACGTCAGCAAACATACAAACGCATCCGAGCTTGTGCTCGCTGTGCCTAGCTGGCGTGGATGCCGTCGCGCAGATCAAAGCAGCTGGAAGTGGTGGAAAATTGAACTGACTGCACGTTACCAATCGTCCCTGCGTTGGACTCCGAAAAACAGACTCAATTTGTAGGCAGTTAACGCTATTTTTAGTGCATTATAAAATTAAGGAATAATTTCCCTGTTAGATTGCCGTTTTTTGCGATTTTTTCCCCCAGCTATGTGAGACGAGTTCCAACGAAATTTCCCATATGTTTGCCGTATTTTAAATTGGTAGTGGTTTGCACATGACTATTACCTTCTCTGTACGAATGACCAGGCCGCTGTTTGGTCTAGTTGACTCACAGTGGTGCACAACTTCATGTGTGCTAAATCAGGTTGTAGGGTTCAGAGCTTGACTGTCGGAGGATTGGTAGTGAAACATTCTGGTCTCGGGTACCGTCGTTTTAGTCCGTGTATGTTGCATCTTGAGCAGTTTTCCGTTGATTAGTTGCACAATGGTGATCTTAACTCCTTTTAAAACTGGTGCCCATCGGCATGATGGAAAACATGGGACCAAAGACAGTAGGAATAGGGAGACAGCTCCTTTTCTCTCTGTATATATTCGATATGACCTTCAGTGGACCGAATACGGAAAGATGGGACCCAAACCATACAGACAACTGAAAGCGAAAGGCTTGAGGCGGGCAGAATATCCGTGTTACGACGTCTTTGTAGATACCGAAGTTAACTTTAAGCTCTAGCCAACCTTCCATTTCACGACCGCTTCACAGTTAGGTTTGTCTGCGTCTTGTTCCTCTAGTTGTTAGAGTCAGTAAAAGCTGTTCCCAGTGACAGTCAGGATGTGCACTCTGTGACAAACCGGTTCACGAGCGACCATAACCGTCCCCTCTGTTGACCGTTAGTTTGTCTAGAAATGAATAATCTCACGAATTGAGACGAATGTTCGCATTCCAGGAACGTGTATATTTTAAGAAGAAGACTAATAAAATAATGATTCCAGTGCTCGATATTCCTTCTTCTTCTTCTTCTTCTTCTTCTTCTTCTTCTTCTTCTCAAAATATGAACAATCTTTCTGGATTACGACCATACGAAATGTACATTTTATAGCCTGGGTTGTACTGTAGTGACTAGCTCCACACGAAGTGCACTTGTGAACGCTTGTCGTGACTAGCTCCAGTTGAACTCAAAATTGTGAACCGCTGCTGTTTCCGGCCTCTGGAACAGCCAATCACAGGCCAACTCACGCAGGACCCCATGTGACGACTTTCGAGCAGTCAGCCCTTCAGAAGCCGTCCACTGGCTTGCGGTTGTGCGTTCATCTGAAAATCAGTTTCCTACTGATTATTTTTCATTCCTTCTGTACAGAATATACTGGTTATACCACTCCGGGGTGCCCCTGACTTCCCGTCTCCTAAGGAACCATGCCTGAAGATCGCAGTTTCCATGGGTTACTTTACTTAACCCCTACGATAGTACCACGAGGACGGGAGTTTTTTCGTATCGGTCGCGTTTCTTGTGTCCAGACGTCATTGCCAGCATACAAGTACAGCACCTCTCTTGCCACTCCCACCTGTATGAGTAAGCAGCTCCCCCCCCCCTTAATAGGGCTACCTTCTCATCCAATCCAACTGCTGAATATCACCGTAGGACTCAACCATATTATCGAGAGAAGACGACCGAAGTGGGTCCAAGTTGTCTACATGACTGCTTGCCACCTTCACCATATGACAGACGATGGTAGTAAGTGAAGAATGCACCGCGTCACAGTTTAAGCCTTGAGTTCGACTAGATTAACCGTGTGCCCCACCGCAAGGTGGAGCACAGTCAAGGCGACTTTTCCGTGTTTTAGTTAACAGCAGTAGTAGTAAAATTGCAATGCATTTACTGCACTCTCTTTTTCTCCACCAACTTGGCCCGGTGCCCTGACGACGTTACGAAGACAGGTGGCAGGTGAGGGTGCAACCGGTTGGCGCGGTTGAAATTGCCCCTAAGCGTATTCTACGGAGTATTATTGTCACGGAGGCCATATTACACAGAAGCCATTGCAGCCTACCTCTCAGTCCACCAGTCCATCATTCCACACGAACACGCAATGGACTTTCTGTGAGGTCTGCGTTCAGTCTTCATTTGGCAACCTACCAGGTCAGGGCACACGTTCTTGCTGGCCTACAGTAGACAGAGCAGTCGTCTCATGATGTCATTCGGGACGGCAAAGGCGAAATCCGCGTCTTCTTGCTCCGCCTTTGGGTGCCGCTCCAGAAGAAGGCGTAGTCGGCACCCACCCCCTCCAGCTGACTCTGTTCAGAGAATTGGGCCTCGTTGATAGCAGTGATGTCCACCTTGTAGCGCACATACTCCAGAGCGACAACCGCCATCCTCCGTTCCGGTCGGTTGCTTTTCGGAAGGTCTAGAAGAGGACAAAAAATAAGGTATGGAGGGGAATGAGACAAGGGTTGGTAGTATTACCGACAATTACCAGGGAGACTGGAATAGCCATTTCTGGCCTATTAGCCGCCGTCAGTCAGTCATACCCAGACTCAAGTGACGTCCCACCGGAGCCTCGAACTCGCTACCTCTTTGGTCAGAGTCAAATGCCCTAAACATTGAGCCACGAGCTCGTTGTCTTGCCGGGTTAGGTCGAGGGATATTGACACTCATTGATCAACGTTCACCCGACAGCTACGTAACTCATTTGTTCCGCTCTGTATGGGGTCTCCACAGAGGCCCTGACAGCCGTAGCAGCTGGAAGTGTAGGCAGATAGGACGGGACGTCACGCGAGTCTGAGT